GTCTACTTACTTCAAATTATTTACTATATATATATACACTACATTATACTATTTACTATATACTATATTTCTAGGTACTAACGAATTTCAGCATGTTCCAGTCGAACACGTAGTCGTAGGTGAATCCCTGTCGGTGAAACAGGTTCCGGAAGAGCTGACGCAGGTAGCTGTAGTCGGGCTTGTCGTCAAACTTCAGCGAACGACAGAAGTTCAGGTAGGTCGCGAATTCGGCTGCAAGCGGAGAAAAACGCGCGAGACGTCAGCCCCAGTGACAATCATCACTTTGACAGATCATCACGTGCAGCGTTTCCCTTGGTCGCCCAGAACGGTCTGTGAGGCGGTAAATTCTTATGTGGTGTGTTTGCGTGTTTCGAGGTAAGTGAGCAGTGCATGTGCTTGGCCGAGGGATTGTTTCCACGGAAATTGTTTGAAAAAAATTGTGCAATTTGGTGCATTCTAAGCTATTCTGGACACATTGTATGAGACTATTGAATCTCTTTTTCAAGTTGTCAAAAGATTCGTCAGCGAGGCGGTGTTTTGGACAAATTTCTGTGTGGCGGCTGAGAATTTGAGTGAGGCTGAGAATTTGAGTGAGTGTCAATGCAGGGCAAACACTAATCACGTGGATGTCAGATGGTCTCTATGCAGCGATCACGAATGCCGCCATTGTCGCACTCTCTCTACGTTCTCACACACTCACACACTCACACGCACGCATGCGCGCACGCACGCACGCACACACACACACACACACACACACACACTCACACACACACACACACACGCACTCACACGAGTAGGTCTTGCAGAGCTCCTCGATGGGCGTCGACATCTTCTTCTCGCTGATGCGCTCGTACTTCTGCCGCTTCGTGACGGCCTTGAGGCCCTGCCAGGGCAGGCTGCCGCGGTTGCAGTACATGAGCACGTAGCCCAGCGACTCCAGGTCGTCGCGCCGACTTTGCTCTGAAAGAAGAGAGATGGTGATTGGTCGCTCGGCGTGTGGTTGCCGTGGCGGCAGAGACGCACCGGATAAAAGATGCCTCTCTGTCTCTCTCTGTCTTACTCTCCCCTTACTCGCTCTCTCTCTCTCTCTCTCTCGCTTGCTCTCTCCTCCCACTCTCCCCTTTTTCTCTTCCTCTCTCTCTCTATCTCTCTCTCCTCCCCATATCATAGATCACACACACACACGATCAGACTTACCTATCCCTAAGTGAGTGCTCCTATCCTTCTATCTCCCACTCTCTCACACTCTCTCCCTCCCCCTTCTCTCTCTCTATCTCTCTCCTCCCCATACCATCGATCACACACACACACACGATCAGACTTACCTATCCCTAAGTGAGTGTTGATGGAGGCGTATCGAGCCGTGCCCGTCAGGTTCTTGTTCTCCCGGTAGGGTATGTGCTGGTGCGTGCGCGGATCACGATATTTTTTGGCGAGTCCAAAGTCTATTATGTACACAAGATTGCCCTTCTTGCCCAGACCCATGAGAAAGTTGTCTGGCTTGATGTCCCGGTGGATGAAGTTCTTGGAGTGTATGTATTCAATTCGACTAATCTGAAATTGCAACAAACAGCTCACGGTGAACAACCGCGTTGGGCGAATTCGCAATCGAGCGAGCGACTTCGCAATCGTGCGAGCGACTTCGCAATCGTGCGAGCGAATTTGCAATCGAGCGAGCGACTTCGCAATCGTGCGAGCGAATTTGCAATCGAGCGAGCGACTTCGCAATCGAGAGAGCAACTTCGCATTCGAGCGAGCCGCTGAGAATATTCCGGCGCACCGAGAACATTCCGGAAATTTCAGCGAGGGAGCGCGCGCGCGCGA